ATTATTGATTTGAACTTCAATAGATGATCGAAAAGATGACCGATCAAATCTCATATAACTGCCTCATGTTAGCAGGTTAATTGTGAACTTAGAATAAATTGGCGTTTGGTAGTTTACTCAAAAATGAATATTTTAAAATGATCTGTAATTGTAACAATAATTTCTTATAGTTATAGTCAAGTTTCAGTACTATTGTCACCAGTAAGGGAAAAAAATAGTTTTAAAAAATAGGTTTGTAAATACAAAAACAAATAATCAAACGAAAATATGAGGTCAGGTGCCAATATATGAAAGCTGGTAATAGTGTTAAATTAAAAATATAAATAAAAAAATATTGTTGGTAAAATGTGATAGAATGATGAGGATATATCGATATAAAAATTAAGGATCAATATAGGTTATTTCGAATAAATAAGTATACATACTAACAGATTAAAGCATATATAGTAGTGAGAATATATATAGCAAAAACAATAAACCCTAGATTATAATAGTATATGAATGTTCAGATATGTCGCTAGTCAAGTAGATAGGAAGTTAGGGTGGGTAGACATGTAGGATTTGTTTGAGGAGGGTTGATATCTATATATAAGATCGATTTAAGGTTAATTTAGCATAACAATGAGAGTGGATAGAAAAGGAAGCGGGTAAATAGAAGATAAGGAATTAGGTAGGCGTTAAGGAGATAGATGTGCAAATAGGTATCAAGGTAGATGAGCAGGAGCGTGGATTAATTGAGTGGTAAGTTGGCATGTACAAAAAAGTTAAATCAAGACATCGACTCTTGCCTTCTGGACATAATGAAAGGTATTTTCCGCGAAACTTGCTGACCACACTGAATTGCTGATACATTTTCCAACCATATCGGGTTGACTCACAGTAATGGCTGACTACAGGCGGATGATGGCTCACCTACGAATGGAAGAGGAGAGTGGATAATCAATAAAAGTGTAACCCTCTTCTGGATATTAATCCTTGTACTTAATCCGACTTTCATAAGATTATATTATCTAGCGGTACTCAATGTTATTACAGACCACTGACTATGGGCTCAAATGATTAGACCCTCTTTTCTAAATCACACATAATATAATTTTAATGAGAAACCTTAAGAATTCAAGAGACTAGCACAGTAATATTTCCGATAAATGAAAGGGTTCCTTCAAAGCGTATACTTTTTTAAATTTACGTGATTGTTTAAAATTAAAAAAAGCCTGATCGGAATATGACCGTATCAAGTAAAGTATTGATAAGATACCTCATTACCTCCACTTCTTCTTCTGCCTACTTTTTTTATAAATCTTTTGCTTGGTGTAGTGCAGGGGAAAACATTTAAGGTTCAATAATTATATTAGTCAATTTGACAATGTATAATACATATTTTACATTCAATGGTAAGTTAAATGAGCGGACACGGGGTTTGGCTATGAGATCTTATTTAGCCCCTATTTCAGTCAATAGCTACATGACCCAATTATATGCTCGCGTGTTTCAAGACACTCCTAATTTCAAAGTTATTGGTCCGCTATATGAACGAATTACTCAAAGGGGAATTCCTTGAGCTAATAGATATAAACTCTACTTACATATTAATATATAGAATAGATGCAAACACTAAGTTTACCATAGAGTTAAAAAAGGAAAATAAATTGCCTTTTTTGGATGTATTAGTGACCAAATAAGGTAATAAGTTAGATAGAGACGTATATAGGAAACCCACTCCCGCGGGTTTCCTTATTAATTTCTTCTCGAACCATACATATAAAGCAAAAATATGAGTTATGAAGTCTATGATAATAAGGAGTCCGCATCTAGCAGATGCAAACCATAGTGACCAGGAGATTGCTAGATTTAGGGATATAATGTTTCAAAATAATTACCCATTAGATTTAGTAGAGAATTACAAGATTAAGTGAGTTTGCTATCAGGCACGGGATCAAGATAAGACAGCTTGCAAAGGGTTGTGGCTGAAAAGTCAGAACTTGCTGAACACAGCCCACACGGGAGAACCAGATAGACTGGTCTAATGCCAAACGCTTAGCTGGATATGAGGACTGTATCAATAAGCGGAAAATTAGGGAATCTATAGAAATCAACAAAACAGCCAACACCCTGAATAGAATGAACGAGTGTAGGAAATTAAGTGGAAGCTACCTGTGAATATGAGATAGGATTAGAAAGAGAAAGAGCGAGCGAGCAAACAAGAAGTACCGACGAGCAAGAGAAGGCTTGATTAGCCTCAAATCTGCTTTTCAGTCTCGAATCCCACGCGTCTCACGATCATTGTATGCACACAACACAAGTGCAACGGAACTCAATCGCGTGTCTCACCATTGCAGGATTAGACAAAAAAAGATAAGTGTTTTGGGGGAGGATATCCTGTCACAACTGCATCCAAAAATGATATGAGTAGAGCTGACGTTTCCATTGAATTTCACAAAGCCTTGCTTTCTCAAAAGTAGTTCTCATCAAGGCACCAGTGGACTGCAGTTTCGACCTCGCATCGGTCTTATCAACACCCCCAGCGACTCGAACAGTGACAGTGCAGATGTGAATTTCAAGGAAGGCCAGGCCTTTTGCCATAGCATGTTCTTTGGTGGGATTGTCGATGAAGGAAACGTATATTTGCTATAACATTCGACCTTCTGCCCAGGGCAGAAGGTGAGATACAACAATTGTTTAGCACACGTTTTGTCAAAAAACCTGCTTCACTTCTCTCTTTGACGAGTTGTTGTATGGTGCTAAGAATGGCGATACTCACTGACGATACCGACTACAATGCCGGCGAAACGTTAGGAAATGTACCACGTTCACGATTCGACTTTGAAAATGATCATGCAGGCAATGGACTCCGAACTAGGTGCGTTCCTCTAAGTCTCCCTACCAATATGACCAAGTTGCGAAAACAAGGTCAAACAACTTCTATTCGATTACGTCATTTATTGTTCGTATTTAAGTAGAGTTTAGAGGTCGAAACTGCAATCCACTCTGGATGAGAACAAATTTTGGGAAAACAAAGCTATGTGAAATTCAATGGAAACGTCAGCTTTACTCATATAATTATGGAAAAATTCTACTACCAGTCCTTACTCACCTCAAGCCAAATCAGGTGAATACATCTTATATTACTGATTTACTGGTGGTCTCGAAACTCTACTTAAATACAAAATAATAAGTAACGTAGTCGATTGTTATAGTAAATATACGTTTCCTTCATCGACAATCCCACCGAAGAATATGATATGCTAAAAGGCCTGGCCTTCTTTGAAATTCACATCTGCCCTGTGACCCTAGGGCACTCATGGCAATGTGGCCGAGTGGTTAACATGTCAAGCTCATATTCTGCACTGTCACGGCCCGACTCCCGCTGGGGGTATTTATAAGACCGATGCGAGGTCGAAACTGCAGTCCACTGGTGTCTGGATGAGAACAACTTTTGGAAAAGCAAGGCTATGTGAAATTCAATGGAAACGTCAGCTATACTCATATTATTACTGATTTACTGTCTCGAAACTCTACTTAAATACCAAAAACAACTGCATAGGTTTCATGTTTCAATTGCAACCACTTCATATCTCATCTGAAGCCAATTGACTTTTCAGCAACATCGGATATTCAACTATATTATGAGAAGCCTCATTAAGTGGACCAAGTTGGACTATAAAGAAGTAGGTAGGATTATAAACGGTCACCTTTCTTTTTTTCGTGTTTTTGCGTATTACCGTAAAGCATGGTGTTCTGCTCTGACGAAGTCCGTCACATAACGGACGAAAGCTCAGGATCGCAGAGCGCTGCGTCGAGGACCTATTCGCACAGAACCACAATCAAAGTTTCAAGGCAATCTCACTACAACTTCCGGTAAGGACAACTTACGAATCCCTCCAATTTGCCTGTTCAAACGAAATTAAAGGTACTCTGATATGAAAAATCATTGGGTGCCTCATCAAGATCGCAAAATTAGGTATAAGAAGTAAAATTCCTTGGTTTAATGCTTTGGTGAACTTTTTGCAAATGATATTTTATGGCACCAATTATATCTATCACATGATAGACGATAACTTAGCATGGATTAATATAAGCATTAGGATGGTGAGTTGAGGCCTTCGCACAATCCAGCACTCACAAGTCCAGGACGATCCCCCTTTAGTTCTTGGTGGGGCCAATTTATTAGCCTTTATAATCCGCCTTTTCAATCGAAATGAGCTATACACTAATCTAAGGGATTCTTCAAAATAATCGTCTTTCCATATCCAAATTCTATTTTTTGATGTATGCCTAGCCTAATTTAATAATATTTCAGAAAGATATAAACAACAATCTTAAGAAATAGAGGCAGTTGGTCCTGTTAGATTCTATGTGGCCATAAAGTGTTGAAATTTTGGAAGATAAATTAGCACTGATTTGTATAAGATGTGCAATAACGAGCAAAAATGCATCGATAATCTTGGCTAGGAAAGCTTAGGCCCTAGCAATGTGGAATATTGAAAAAAAAACAAAGAAATAGTCGTATGCTAGTGAAGATACTGTTGTGTTATTTCAAGATGTTTATGAGGCATTACATATTTATAGCTCTAAAAGAAGCATACTTCATGGCTTTTGGTAAACCAGTCAATATTCAAATCAATGTATGCCAGAGAGTGTTGAGGTGTTAGGAAAAAATATGCAGTATAATGTAAAGCGACACGGTAAATTCCTATTGAAGATAAGCATACAAGAGTTTGTTCAAAGGATTGTTCCGCTATAGATAAAACATTATTTAAATTCCTCAGTCAATCAAAAATCCACCAAAATCCGTTTACTAGAACCATTTAATAACCATTTATATTGCTTAAACACACCAATGTAGAGCCGTTTAAGAAGTAGGCTCGAAGTAAATAACAGATAAATAAGGTGCAAAAATAAATTCCAAAACAAAGCAAGGATTAATGGGTGTACAAATGAGAGTGTATTCGAATGAGCAAGCAATTTTCGCACGTCTCAACAATGCAAGCGAATTTACATCAAAGTAGAGCAGAATTGATGCTGTGGTGACTTACTTGCTCAGCCAAACTCCGCCATCCGTAGGGATCAAGGCTCCGATCACATTCATAAGTCTCACCAAGAAGTGGATTAAACGGTTTGCAGGTCCGATGAGCTGTCGAAGCGTAGCTGGAGATTGAGAAAGTGGCCACCCAAGCCAACTCAAGAACCGGATCAGCGTTGCCTAACTGGCAGGCCTTGTCCAAACAGCAGGAGTATTCAAGGTCTTCTGTAACGCGCTGCAAGAAGGAGAGCGGCTCATTGAAGTTAACCTGGAAGAAAATTAGCGTTGAAGGGAGAAGGCGAGAATTTGAGAAGTTACTGAAATACAAAATGAGTTGAGGTTAAGGAAAGTCCAGTGAGTAAGTAATATCGAGTGATACCATTATGCTAATGAAAATGTAGTAACAGAAATAAGATTTAAATAGAAGAGCTAAGTGCTCGCCCAGCTTATGACCACTTTCTACCGTCTTAAAAAACTCGTAAGACTGCTGAAATTGAAATTAAAATAAGTTAATGGAAACTTTATCAGCCCTGGGTAATGAAGGACTTACAGTTGAATTTCCCACAAATGAATAAGCAATTGAACTCCACTTAAGCTTATCTCCTAAAAGGAATTTTCATCCAGGGTGGACTATATTTCCAACCTCGCCAGGGTCCAATCAACGCCCCCCCGGCAATCAAACTTGAGTATTGCAGCCTTTATTTTCGACATATTAGCACCATAAAAAGTAATGTAGTCGATTATAAAAGCAAATACTAATTTTCTTCTGCGACAATCCCAAAATAAAATGTGATGAGAAAGGCCTGACTTACCTTGAAAGTGACGTCGGCCCCGATACCCACGTGAACCCGTGACAATGTGGCTTGTTAGTAATGTTAAAAATAAGCGATGCACTACCTGAGCTCGACTCTTATCGAGGGTGCTGAATAGATCTGGGCGAGGTTAAACTGCAATTTATCCTGAATAGGAGTACCTTGTGGAATGCAATGACATCGTAATTCATACACATATTATTGTGAAAAATTTCGGGTATTGGTCCTTTATTGGTTTATTCGATCTATGGTAAGTAGAGTTATTGTTAAGGATCTAGAGGTAGTATCAAAACCTAATCAATCGAAATATAAAATAGTTGATTAGTTTTATATC